CACGATCAGAGCCTACACGAAGTACAGTACTCGCCGTTTGAAATCGAAAATTCACGCGAATAACGCGAATCCTCGTTAATTTCGTGAATTCGTTATAACTCGGTTCAAAATTGAGCTTTCGAGAATCCGAAGATATCTTTGAATTCAGCTCGTCGGACACTATAAGAATGTGCTTTGATACTTTGGAAAAGCTCCATATAGGATTGCGCCATGCACTCGATTTTCATCTCAAAAAGTAGTTGCTCGCATGTGATGTGTATATAATCCCGCTTATGCGGGCTGACCGCTACACACAGAGAAGGGCCTCAAAACTTACCCCAGAATGCGCCATTGAATGTTATTTTCCGAATTCTTAGATCTTCATTTCGTTTTTAAGCGCTTACTGGCTTTACGTGTTCCCTCTGCTCTCAATATCCCATCCTCTGTATATCAAGTGGAATCTTTGAACAGTTCTCAGCAGGCATAGTGGGCCTATTATGTGACATTTTCCATTTTCAGAGGACATGTTTTGCAGAAAGCTGTGAAGATAGCGAACAATTTCCTTCACTGTCGTAGACTACGGTCACTTGTCTGTAAAGGATTATATGGAAACCTTGGTCGCAGGTGAGCGTTTCTTCCGTGGTGTGACCCCAAACATCACCCCTTGTCATGCCTTTGCCCCCTATTACGTGACAAGTCCCATTTTTAGAGGAATGTTTTGTAGAAAGCTGTAAAGGAAGCGAAGAATTTCCTTCACTGTCGTAGACTATGGTCACTTGTCTGTAGGAATTATGTGGAAAACTCGGTCGCAAGTGAGCGTTCCTTCCGTGGTGTGGCCCCAAACATGCCTCCTCGTCATGCCCTTGTGGAATGTTCAGATTTTTTGCATTTCCAGATGAACTCGCAGACCTGAAATGTGCCCCGTTAGCTTCCCCGTGAAAAATGCTATCGAATGATATGCATTACTTCCCCAGTTGAAACTTTGGTTTTTCACCGTTTTCAGCCTTCCCCTATTGGGCACTATCCCACGATTACTGCCCCAAAATCTCAAAGTTTCATTTTTCGTCGAAACTTTGTCTATTGGGGTAATTCGATGCCCTGATTACGAATATGACATTCATTTTTGATGCTGGTGTCATTTGGCGCCATTTGGCGCCACGGCTGTTTTCACCAAATCTGCTGAAACTTCGTCATTTGGGGTTATTTGGGGTCCTGATTACGAAAACGACACCCGTTTTTGGCGCTGGCGCGCTATTTGGCGCCGTTTGGCGCCACGGCTGTTTTCACCAAATCCGCTGAAAACGTGTGTATAGGGGTTATTTGGGGTCCTGATCACGAATATAACATCCAGTCTTGACGCCGGCGCCATGTGGTGTCACAAACAACACTTCACAGTCAGAGCGTACTCTTAGGCACCTTTCTCAGAGCGCCGACTGTCAGACCGTGGAAAAGGTCATCGAATCGGAGACTTTCCCACGACAGGAAGGAGCCAGAAGCATGTTTCACGTTTTCGACAACGGAGAATAACGATGGCTCTTGCTACTCTTTAGCGACACAATCGTCAATGAGAGCTACTGGGCTTAGCCTTGAAGGACGTGTACGAGACGCTCGTATTGCTGTCCTTCACTTGCCCATGTCGCGCAGCCAGAAAATAGGGCAGTGCGAACACCGTGGACTCAGGAAAGTTACAGTTCTCGAAAAAGGAATCCTTTCGGGCATGAACGTAGACCCTGGTCTCGTTCGACGGTCCAGTGCGGCACACTTTCCCGCCGAGACAGCTCCGACGATTGCAAATCCAGCGGTTGTGTGCCGTTCGTCGTTGATCAGGCTCATAGATCGTTGACATGAAGGGCATAGTGACACAGACATCAACCCTGGATCGCAACCAGTAAGTGCAGATTATTCAACTTGAGCGTCTCGTACACGTCCTTCAAGGCTAAGCCCAGTAGCTCTCATTGACGATTGTGTCGCTAAAGAGTAGCAAGAGCCATCGTTATTCTCCGTTGTCGAAAACGTGAAACATGCTTCTGGCTCCTTCCTGTCGTGGGAAAGTCTCCGATTCGATGACCTTTTCCACGGTCTGACAGTCGGCGCTCTGAGAAAGGTGCCTAAGAGTACGCTCTGACTGTGAAGTGTTGTTTGTGACACCACATGGCGCCGGCGTCAAGACTGGATGTTATATTCGTGATCAGGACCCCCAAATAACCCCTATACACACGTTTTCAGCGGATTTGGTGGAAACAGCCGTGGCGCCAAACAGGCGCCAAACGGCGCCAAATGCGCCAGCGCCAAAAACGGGTGTCGTTTTCGTAATCAGGACCCCAAATAACCCCAAATGACGAAGTTTCAGCAGATTTGGTGATGAAGAACAGGAACCTGAAAAATGAAACTTTGAGATTTTGGGGCAGTAATCGTGGGATAGTGATCCAATAGGGGAAGGCTGAAAACGGTGAAAACCAAAGTTTCAACTGGGGAAGTAATGCATATCATTCGATAGCATTTTTCACGGGAAAGCTAACGGGGCACATTTCAGGTCTGCGAGTTCATCTGGAAATGCAAAAAATCTGAACATTCCACAAGGGCATGACGAGGAGGCATGTTTGGGGCCACACCACGGAAGGAACGCTCACTTGCGCGACCAAGAGGTTTCCAACATATTTGCCTAACAGACAAGTGACCATTAATGCTACGCCCCCGGCGATTCCGATGCAGACCATAGTCTACGACAGTGAAGGAAATTCTTCGCTTCCTTTACAGCTTTCTACAAAACATTCCTCTAAAAATGGGACTTGTCACGTAATAGGGGGCAAAGGCATGACAAGGGGTGATGTTTGGGGTCACACCACGGAAGAAACGCTCACCTGCGACCAAGGTTTCCATATAATCCTTACAGACAAGTGACCGTAGTCTACGACAGTGAAGGAAATTGTTCGCTATCTTCACAGCTTTCTGCAAAACATGTCCTCTGAAAATGGAAAATGTCACATAATAGGCCCACTATGCCTGCTGAGAACTGTTCAAAGATTCCACTTGATATACAGAGGATGGGATATTGAGAGCAGAGGGAACACGTAAAGCCAGTAAGCGCTTGAAAACGAAATGAAGATCTAAGAATTCGGAAAATAACATTCGTCTAATCGTTAACGAAGTTATAACGAAGTTCACGAAAAAAAATTAACGAGGGTTCGCGTTATTCGCGTGAATTTTCGATTTCAAACGGCGAGTACTATACACCTTCTGGGCTCCTTGGTTTTTTCCTCTCAGGCGGTACTCCTTGCACATCTTGTTTCATTTTATAGCGGAATAACATAGCGACTCAATCACCGAGTGTCTTTGAGTTACAATTGGTTGAAAGCAGGAAATGAGTAGGGCATGGTCCTCTCTCGATGCAGTGTGGAAATGGACCTTCGCCACCTACCACCAGCTGTATATGATGTGATGATGAACCAGAAACATGAACCAGCTGTGGATGGTGATGTTTGTAAAGTCTGAGACCTCAGCGCATCTCATTTCATCAAACTTCATAATGATGTGAATAGGTTTCAAACCCTTCACACTTGTGATTCAACTTCGTATAATGTATGCTATACGAAGCTTATACTTCGATTACCGCTCTCAAGCAATTTAAACTTACTATGAATGCGATGCGCGCGGCTCTTTATGGCCAGCGCTAAAATATTAATCTTAACACATTTATGAGAACCCCTTTCCACTTTTCGCTCGCTTGGACGGACTCGATTTTGCGGAGCCGAAACCTAACCTCACATCCGCGGATTTCGTACTGTAAATTAACAAAAATATGAATATCACAAAATAATTCGAGCAATGTTCAATGCGTAAAGATTATCATATAATAGTAGAATTTCGATCAAAACGATGAATAGTGGTGACGAAAAGAGAGCATTATTCATTTTCCCTGTAAAGAAATTCAAAAGCATTCTCAACTCCATCACAATGTTTACTTACCTACCTTTCCACTCATAGCGCCTGGCAGGCGATTATCAGCTGGAAGCCCATATGGGCCACCACGAGCACCATTCCTTGGCAGGCCATATGGGCTGCCACCGGCGTGAATGTGTTATTGCCTCCAGAGCTCATCCATTTACACATCGTTTACTATATCACCGACAAAACCCACTAGAGTGAATATCGGTGGAGGAAAACCCCGAAAGAGGGAGATCGTATTTGTCAGGATGTGTCATGGGGGTTGTACTGGTGCAGGGTCAGTAACGACCACATCAGTGGCATCATGGTGCAGATAGGAGGAGAGGGTGTAGCGCAGCAGAAAACGAGAAGATGTGAGGAAACATGATAAAATCTTTGCAGGTTCAGTCGCTCCATTCCTCTACCTTTATGAGAAGATTGTATTCGAAGGCAGTACAAAGAATGAAAGTGCATTTCTGCAAGGAACGAGGCCACATGTGCGCACGCGCTGCAAAGGCACCTCCTCTATCTACCGCCCGCTCCCTCTCCCTTAATACCTCGTTGAGAATGACACTGTTGTTAGGGACGCTGTCGCAAAAACGACATTAGTGAAGCAAAGGTAATGGCTAAATGGAGCTGTTTATTAGGTTATAGTAGCTAGGAAATGTGTTCATTACCACACCATGGTCGTTCAGTTCCTGCCAACGGATCATCATAATAAAAAAACCTTTCAATCGATTCTGCAACTTTTAGGGGTGTGTGCATAGCCCATACAGACAAAATCGGACGATGACGATTGCCTCTTTTCTTGTCGCTTTCATTGGAAGAATGTATTTTTTCGTTGAATTGTTTGTAGAATTTTCGGAAAATGCCAACGAATTATCTTGCAATGATGAAGAAGGAGGCGACTTTTTGAGTGGTCAAAAATGGACCTTGATAGATCCTTGACGCAAATATCTCCTCAACTAAGAGATTTGGAAAGAAGCTAAACAAACCATTAGAAAGCGCAGACCCACCGTGTCTTCCATTTTCCAGAACCTGCGAAATTAGAGAGACATTGCCTTTAAAGAGGCAAAAACTCGTATGAACTTTCCGCGTCCTCGACGCTAACTCGATGCAGTTCGAAAGACCATATCTCTGCGAATGGAAGGTTTCAGAAATTTCAACACTAGCTGGTAACAAGCGACGTAGCACACAATCTACCACATACCGTTCCAAAATTATGAAATGGGGAAATAGTACCTTTTCTGCGAAGGTGTAGATTTCGATGGTTTGCAGCGGGGTTTCGTCTGACCTAGGGATAAACCGCGCTGCAACTGCATACTCTGAAGTACAGAAAATGCTATTAGTTTATTCACATCAGAATCAAAGTTACGGGGTCGTATCAAGACCACGATTTTACGGGGGAGCTCGCACTGCTGCAACCACATCCTTGACACGATTTTTACCCTGCCTCCCCCTCTGAAAGTTGCTATACTACACCGTTCAAAAGAAGACTCATTAGAAAGGAAACTGCTCGAAGGGATTGCTATTACCATTTATCCACCGAAATGAACACTGGGATGAGCTCATGGAGGCAATAACACATTCACGCCGGTGGCAGCCCATATGGCCTGCCAAGGAATGGTGCTCGTGGTGGCCCATATGGGCTGCCAGCTGATAATCGCTTGCCAGGCGCTAGGAATGGAAAGATAGGTGGGCAAACATCGTAATCGAGTGTAAAATGCTTTTAAATTCCTTCACGGGGAAAGTGAATAAATGCTCTCTTTTCGTCAACCACCATTCATCGTTTTGATCAAAATCCTACTATCATATGTTAAGACAATCTTTACGCATTTAACATTACTGAAATTATTTTGTGACATTCATGTTTTGGGTCTATTCCAGTTAGGGGGGACATCATGATGCGGTGACTCCCAAAAAGCTACGGTAACTCTGAGCCAGGGGGAGTGTAGCCAGCCTAGGGGGGTGGGGGGTGAGGGCAGTCACTTGACATGCGTGAAAAGCTGGAATGTTCGAGTTTACATTAGTTCGCCGAGAAACTGCATCATGATGCCCCCCTAACTGGAATAGACCCCATGTTTTTGTTAATTTACAGTAAAACCGCGGATGTGTGGTGAGGCGGCGGCGCCCACAAAATCGCGTCCGTCCCACGCGACCGAAAAGTGGAAAAGGGGCGCCGTCGTGAATGTGTTGAGATTAATAACTTAGCGGTGGCGATGAAGAGTCATGCGCATCGCATTTATAGTGACTTTTAATTGCTTGCGAGCGGTGTCGAAGTGAGCTAATATTGCTAATTTCCTAAAGAAGATCTGACTAATGTGAAGGTTTCAGAAGTCCTATGGGTACTGACGCCCTGCTTGATCCGTTGTGTTACGATGCTAACATTGACACTACGCACCTTCTTGCTCATAATTGCTTCCTTTACAAAGACAGAAAGTGCTCAGCCGAACGCAGGCGTCAAAGCCTACCCACACTATTATGAACATTGGTGAAATGAGTGCGCTGAGGTCTGAGACTTTACAAACGTCATCATCCACAGCGTTCACGTTTCTGGACTCAGACAGTCATAGCTGGAGAGGGTCCATATCTGAATTCCATCGACGTATGACCCTACCCTACTCATTTCCTGCTTTCAACCAATTGTGACTCAAAGACACGGTTTGCGATTGAATCGCTACGTTATTCCACTTGAAATGAAACAAGATGTGCAAGCAGCAATGCTAGATAGAAAAAAAAACAAAGAAACCACAGAGATGCATTCCTTGTGAGGTCGACCGTGGTACAACCATGAGAATTAGCACAGCGAAGAGAGCACACCGTACAAGTGGGAAGGGGGGGGGGGCGCAGACACTGTGCACGCTGCGAACGGATGAAAATGGCTCTATTGCCCTTGTTGCGCACTTTCAGATAGCGACAATGCCACCACTGGTGTGGGGTCGAAGCAGTTCCACTAGATCGTCCCACTGTAAGCAGATACGATGGTAGTAGTAGTCCACTGTAGCAGGGGACGGCACCTGTTTCCTGCGATTTTCTTAAGCAATCCAAAGGATATGCTGGAACGTATAGTTACTTGAGAAATGTTGGTTGAGTGAATTTTTTTCTAATTTTTTATTCTGATGATTTCTTCGAATCTCTACACGAGTCCAACCCTACCGTTTCAGGTTACCTCGGTATGTACCGCTGGCTGACCGGGCTTGAGCCTAACGGAAAATGGATGTCGTGGTTGACGAGAGAGACGCTGGAGCAGTTTAACAGTTAGTGCAGTCGTAAAAGCTTTGATAAACTTTATTATCTGATTGGATCATTTTTGCAGCATATGCCGATGCTAAGGCACATCTGATGTCTACGCCAATGCTTTCACCAGTGTACTACATTCTTGGTGGCCTGAACCCATGGGAGGTAAGCTGTTTACTTTGGGAAAATCAGAGAGTAAACAAAAGAGGCAAAAGCAACGGGGGCTCGGGGTTTTAAAATGGAGACTCAAAGGCAGTGGTCACGATGGCTGGAGGGCGTTGCGGTTTTCGTGACGTCATTGAATGTGACTAGAACCTTCGGCGCGCTGAGTAGTCTGGTACTACACTACTACTACTACCAGTACGGCACCACTCTTTAGCCATCGTGGTCATTGCTTTTAAGGATTTGATGCCTTTTAGGGCTCCATTATCACGCGTAGCCTGAACGGCACCGATCTGCTCACCGAACTTGATCCCAACGACAAGACAACTGGATGGTACTTACTTGAGACGAATTACGATCAGGATAAACCGGTACGCTAGGATTTGGCCGTGAGCCAAAAGCTCATAGACCGCAATTTGAACCAAGCGAATTCACATCTATTCAGACTTTATATTTGGACGATCGTCGGACACCTGGCAATAGTTGCATGCAGAAGCTCAGTCAGAAAAACGTCAACTTCCAGGTATGACATTTTGATTCAAAATGATTTTCGGTATACCCTACATTATTGAATGATATGATAACATGATATTTCAGGGTATTTTCAACGTTTTGTCGTCGCGCACCAATCTTAACAAACTGACTACCTACACCGTGCTGATGGATGTGCAAAACGGTCGCTTCGAAACGATCATGCAGTCCTGTCCCGGCTACTGCTGGCCCTTCTAAGCGCACTTGCAGTGCTCTTTCTTCCAGTTACCTAGTCCGACTCCACCCAATGACCACGCAGTTATTTCGAATTTCTTTTTTATGTTCTCTAATAATAAAAAATTTGCAGCAAAGGTGTTCCGTCTCCTTACAATTCTTGGAATTAACTCTGAACTCGCCCATGTGCCTTGTATAAAGGCATGCCCCAAGATTAAGCTGGTGTGATTTGTGCCCGACTACGAAAAAAGAAATGAAAAAGGATCTGTCGAAAAGAACTCCGAGGCTAAGGACTTACTCACTTTGGTAATGCGAATGTGCTAAGGCAATGAGAGACTAGCGCGAGAGGAGAGTATGAGGCGAGAGAGCGCAACAGATGAGAGGCGCCAGACAACAGCCTGTGAAAGGAAATGCAGCTGCTGCAGCTTACTTTGCAAGGCCCTAGCGCTTTTTGGGTCATTTCCGTGCACGCTAGGGCCACATCTGCGATTGTCCTCAAAGGGTCTATCCAGATCGAAGAGAATCGTCACGACTTCTGCCTGGGTTGTACCTTTTGATAAAAGGATGACGCTCAAAAAATTATTCGGCCTGGGGCGAAAGTTTTGTTCACAACCCAGCATTCTTGTGAAAAAAACTATTCGATCCGTTTTCGAGTGCTTCACGCATGCTTCTTCCATTCAGGATCGTAGGGCTACTTGAATGTACTATGGTCCATATCATGACAGCCGGGGCCAGCCGGTGTACAGGTCAGTAGCGTCCTATCCTCCCAGATAACTCTGGTGCTAAGCGAGTGGAAGCAATCTGGTAACAGCTCAGCTTAAAGGAGGATTGCACGGAAAGAACGAAGGTCGAAGAAGGGAGAAATCGCCTAGTGGGGAGACGGTGGACCTCTTGAGGGTGCGGACTGACGCGCAATTGGCATCGAAAGATTTGACCTCGGCGACCTAGCATGGCTCAAAGTTGGCGGGTCGGCGATCTCCGCCCACCGATCATCTGATCACTCGCCGTAGTTCAATACGTGGCGAGTGATTAGATAGCTGAGAGAGCGTAGTGTTGAAGAGGGCACAGCGATGAGAGTCGCATCAATGCTCAAATCAACGGGCAAGGAAGGGGTCCCATTTCTCGGGTTCTGGGCCGTTTCTCATGGTTTCGCTTTCTTTCTGGTACCACTCACCATCTCTACCTCAATTTGGAATGGGTTGCTTTTCCATCGTAAATTCGTCCTTTAAACTGGTGGAAAGTGATACCGGTGTCACACGAATGCTACGTTTGGAGCAGGGCACCGAACTACCCGTATAAACGAAGTTCAGAGAAAAAAATTGAAGTAATGTTTTTGCTAGTGACTGGAATTGTAAGGCTGTAGTAGTGCCAACTAGGGTGAGAATCCTGTCGAGAAATTGGTCGCCGTTACAGTTACAGCGCGCTTTTTCCCTGGGTCAGATTATATGTAGCTCTGTCTCAAACCGTGGAAATCTACACCTCTTTGAAAAGGCTACCATTCTTCCATTTCATAACCTTTTGAATAGGTTGTGGTAGACTTAGATAGAGCTAGGATTTCTGTTGTAAAACAGTATTGAAATCGCTCTGAAAGCCTTTCACCTCGAAAGAATGTGTCTCTCAAAGTGCGAATGAATGTCTCGAGCCAGCGTCGAGGACGTTGAAATTTTCATGCGATCTTTTACTTTGCTTGAAGTGCTTGTATCCACAGAAATGTTCGTGACTCGGTGGAGAGAAGATAAAGGAAGCATCGAAAACACGAAGGAGAAACCTGCAAATTAACAACAGGGAAGAGCTACAAACAGCTATGGGATTAATCGCTACATAGTGAGATGGCAAAATGAATAATACGTGACAGAAGCAAATCACAAGGCATTTAGCAATGTAACCCTTGACCCTGTTGGACTCCTTTCCTCCACCGGCCTCTACCTTCTGTTTTCCCGAATTACGAAGTTTTCGGCAGACTCCGCCCACTTTTGTGCGTGCTCCGCCCACCAATAGCAGTTGGCCTCCTTTCCTCCGCCGACCTCTACCCCTTTTTCCCGGTCTCCGGGACTTCTTGGAACCGAGTTATGAATTTTGTCGCAAACTCCGCCCACTTTTGTGCGCGCTACGCCCACCATTGACATTTAACCTCCCCTCCTTCTCTGACCTCTATCCACCTTTTTCCGGCTCTCTAAGACTTCTCGGACCGAATTATGAGGACTTGTAGAAAACGCTGTACACTTCAGGGCACGCTCCGCCCATTGTGGGCGGGCCTCCGCCACGTCATGTATGCTGGGAAACACCTTAGACATTGCTCCCTACACCAATTTTTTTCTGCTCTGTAGGCTTTCTCCCAACCGAGTTATGAAATTTTTCATAAAGCACTGCTTTTTTAGAGAACGCCCCGCCCACCGGGGGTGGGTCTCCCTAATTCGATCTGGCTTACCAATGCACACCTTTACCCACTTTTTGGCCCAGTTTCGAGGTTGTTTTGTCACTGAAATCTTGGTCGTTGGTTTCATTTCGATGCACGCCACGCCCACTGTGGGCGGGGCTCCGCTTAGCTGATGTGTGTTTTGTACTTCGTGAGACCTTGCCCACCCATCCCACACTTGACCCGGTCCCTCCAGGCGGATCCCGAGGAGCTAGGGAATTTCGTGACAGACATACAGAACGACAGACGACAGACGAAGCGAAGCGCTTTATAGTAAGTAGGATCGTGGCGATGGTTCCCCACAGATACATACCTCTTGCCGCAATGTGGCTCGGGGGGGGGGGGGCACCTCGCAACATCGCGTCAAAATCACGGAAACGCTCCGTTTTAGGACTAAGCTTTTGAAGAGGAGAGGAACTCCGGTGTACGGAAGCAATTTTCGTATTCTCCGGAGTTCGTCCCTGCTGTTTAGGCTTAGTCCTAGATGACTTTTCTCAGAGTGCCCCCCGAGCCACATTGCGCCTACTTGTTTTCTGCTGCTTTACACCTCCCCTATCTGCACCATGAAATCTCTGATATGCTCGTGACTGATTCCCCTATTACGACCCCCCATTAGCCACCGTGACAAATACGATACCCTCTCGAGGACTTACACGATTGATATTAATTCTGTGAGTGACTAGAGCACTGAATTAGGTGCTATCTTAGTTGTTGGGGGGCCACGCGGCGCCGCATCTGCTCGCTGGCATTCGGAAATTCGTGGGCCAGGGGAGGTCAGCCGCCTTAGGGTTGGGGGCAGGGTGAAAATCGTGTCGAGTACGTGGTCGCAGAGGTACGACCCCCCCCCCGAAATCGAGATCCTGGCACGACCCCCTCTAACAGAGCAAATTAATTCAATTAAAATAAATCCTGCAAAACAAAAATCAAAAAAAAATCAAAACAATCAAAAAAATTCTGCAAAATAATGCTAAGGACGCTTCATCTTGTCATCTATGCACGTCTCCCATCGCTGCATACTTTTGTGTACATACTGAAATATCGACTCGAGGAAAGAGGCATTAACTTTGTGTGACCTCAAGGCGAGGTTCGTTCAGAAACGCACAGAAATCCTGAAGACACGGGGTTGCGATTCAATCTTGATGATAATCAAAACAGCCGAGTGCATCAAGGCCGATTCAACGCAGCTGCGGCGCGATTGTCACTGGGTCAGATTTGCCGAAATTTCAAAAAAAAACGTCCGAATCTACACCCTCGATGAAAAGGTTGCATTCCTCCATTTCACAACCTTTGAAGCAGCTTGAGGTAGAGTTAGATAGAGCTGGATTTCGCGTTTCCAACAAGCATCGAAATTGCTCTGGAAGCCTTCCTTGCAGAAAGATAGGGTCTGTCAAATTTCGTCGAGTAAATGTCGAGGAGGCCCAAATTTTCACGCGAGTTTCTGCCACTTCAAGAGCAATATATCTCTTATATTGTAAGATCCAAAAAAAGAAAGATAGTCGGAGACGGAAGGTTTGCGCTTCTGATGGCGTTTAGTTCTCTACATCCCTTGATTGAAGAATAATTGCTCGAGGATCCTCGAAGACGGATTCGCCACCTGAAACCCCCTCATTCAACCATTGCAAGTGGCACGTTGCACACCGGATGGTCCCGAACAAATCTTGAACGCAAAAAAGAATAGGAGCAATCGTCATCATCCGATTTGGTATTGGTATAAGCCATGCATCCCTCCTCCACTCACAGTTGCAGAATCGATTGAAAGGTGTTATATGATGGGGACCTTCGAACGAAACTGTATTGTAGTAGACATAGTGTGTTGTGCTATTCCTGTAACCTAAAAACAACTTCATTTGCCCAGCGCTTTTTCTTCACGGTTGTCGTTTTTCCGACAGGGTCCCTAACAACAGCGTCATTCCTGCTGCCTTCAAATACGCCCTTTTCGTGGAGGAAGGACGACTGAACCTGCGAAAACCAAATTTAATATCATCGTTTTTTTCGATGTTCAGTTCTGCGCCATAACCGACTATTACCGTATCTCACATGAATACCGACTTTGTACTTGGACGCCGCAAGTACGACCCCCCATGGACCGGCCCAACAGGCACGACCCCCCTGTCGAGGATTTCCTCGACCATATCACCTGGGGGGTGGGGGCAGTCACTTGACATGCGTGAAAAGCTGGAATGTTCGAGTTTACACTGTCTCGCTCGAGAGAGCCCAGGTGAGCAGACTGCCGCGCCGCCGCGTGCCCCCCCCCCAACTAAGTTAGCACCGAATTTTCCTATCAGCAACGTTTTGATGAAAAAGTCTTCTGCCCCGTCTTGGTGTTGAAATAGTGAAATGGTGTCATATTTCCTTTTCAACGGTACATCACCCAAACAGAAACTGATTGAGAATGGTCGTGATGCACCTACAGTTGATGACCAGACCGCGCCGAGATGATAAACGTGTTGGCAATGCCAAACTCACCGAAATCACTCAAACATACGTGTGACAAGGAGAAGAAAAGTCAAGCACCGACCTGATCTTGTTCACTTATCCCCCCGATGCTTACCTTACGCGTTTAGTTGCGTGCAACAATTCCAGAAATTTACGTATTTTAAATTAGCTCGCAAACCACCAGTTTTTTCGGCAAACTCCACACAACTATACGACCCCAAAAACTCAAAATTTTATTTTTCGTCGAAACTTCGCCTATAGGGGTAATTCGGTGCCCTGATCACGAAAATGAGGTTCATTTTTGGCGCTGGCGCCATTTGGCGCCAATTGGCGCCAATTTGGCGCCAAGGGTGTTTTCACCAAATTCGCTGTAAACTTGCACATAGGGGTTATTTGGGGTCCTGATCACGAATATAACATTCATTTTTCCCTCCAGCGCCTGTGCGCGCCTGTTTTCCGCTCGTCTGCGCCCTCTCACTGATCACCTCGCGATCGGGACTAAGCCTTTGAGGAGGAGAGTGCTCCGAAGTGAATAACACTTATCCTGTGATCTTATACGCTTTAACGTTTGCCACATGTTGACTGGTTCACCCACCCCGGAGTCCTCCCTCCTTCTAGGCTCAGTCCTAGGTATTATGTACAAGTGAGAGGACCCAGGAGAATGGAAAATGTGCGTTGAACGGTGGAAATGCTAAAAACGAATGACATATCCGTAATCAGGACCCTAAATAACCCCTATGTGCAAGTTTACAGCGAATTTGGTGAAAACACCCTTGGCGCCCAAATGGCGCCAGCGCCAAAAATGAACCTCATTTTCGTGATCAGGGCACCGAATTACCCCTATAGGCGAAGTTTCGACGAAAAATAAAATTTTGAGTTTTTGGGGTCGTAATAGTTGAATAGTGCCTTTTTTTTCAAGTAAACACTGCATAAGAGTTGAGAATTGAGTTCTTGAGGCTGTTGCGCCTGTAGCGCTACCTCTGCGAGATGAAAGTTTCCAACGATGACGCCAGTTCGGTTATTCCTCGAAAAATTATCAAGCTAAGTCGTGAAGAATTGCAAGCAGCTGACAGTGATACTCTCGTCGAGAAGTGAGTTTATTTCAGTAGAACACTGGACGTTCATTTTGATTTCGTGTCATTTTTAGAGTTCTGTCGTTGACTGATCAACTCAGCCAAGTCACCGAAGTGGCGAAAAAGTTAAAGACTCGTGAAGCGCAAGCCCGCTTACAATTCATTCAGAAGGATAAGGAGCTCAAGGATCTTATCGTTAGTTGCATCAATTTCAGGGTTGTCCATTAGAGTGTGGGGCGCTAGGACAAGGCGACTTTTTTGCTTGTCCCAGACTGTGCCGAGGTGCGCATGTAATCATGAGTGGACTTGGGGTTCTCGCAGCGGAAAAGCTTCGCGCTACGAAAAGCGGAAACGTGGCTTCCTTGTTCCCACGCCCTAGTCATTATTACCTTCTAAATACTAGCAAGTTTTCTATTATTGGCGTGAGGCTGCTTCTTTTCACAAATTTTTCATAATCTTTCCGAATTACCATGCAGCAGGGGATAGCCATTGAAAAAAAAATTGAAAAAAGAAAACTCCATCGGATGAATTGCAGCCAAAGTTTTATACTACTTATTTTGGATAATCATAATCGCGTGAATCACGCAAATCGTCGCAAATTTGTTTTGATCTCGATTCTTTTAAGGCTGGTATCAGAGTCCGCGATCCGTCGCAGGTTTCGCTGATTTTCGCGATTTGCGCGATTCGCGATTCACGCGACGGGTCACGGAAATCACAAGTGCCCGATCAATACTGCAAGGTGTTCTCCAATCCTGCCGCCACTTCTGCTTGATAGTGATGGCTGAATGACGACTGCTCATGATTCCACTTGTTTCATATTCAGTGTTTCAAATGTTCAAATGGGGCACTTGCGATTTTTTCGCGAAAATCGGAACCTGCGACGGATCGTGGGCTCTGACACCAGCCCTAGTTTTAGTGTGAGGGAGGAAATATTAGGTTGGTCCATAAGTCTTGCAACAAACTGGCTGAATTTTGATTTTAATATTTTTATTATCTTTTTGTTCCATTCATCCAGCATGCTACACACCATCAATATCTACAACCTATTGCCAACGCACTAGAAGCTGTTCGATGCCTCTCTTGTAGAACTCCACTGAATTCTGATCGAAGAAAGATCAGATGTCGATTTTGACATCATGATGGTTAGGATGAGATTTCTTCTCTAGGAGATGGTCTTGAGAGGGGAAGCAGGTGGGCATCCTTTGGCACGAGGTCAGGGCTATAAGGTGGATACGGAAGAACTCTCCGTCCGAGAGTCCTAAAATTTTCCTGAATTTTCTTAGCAAGAGGTGGTTCAACGGTGTCATAAAAAAGCAAACTTTGCCTTGTTTTTCTTTCGTATTGAAAGCGTTGCAATCGAGCTGTGGACGGTTGACTTTCGCGTTGACTGCGACATCTACACGAAGGGTTTCCAGAGCTCAACTCCTCTCGTATTCCACCAAAAATCCGAGAAGGCCCTACTTGGACGAGGTTGAACTTGAGCAGTAAGAAAACCCGAAGCGTTTTAGCTAGACTGTCACTTGCATTTAATGCAATCAAATGTAATTTGTTCCAGGACTTATGGACCAACCTAATATGATCGGTAAGAAAACATTGGCTTTGATTTCGGATGTGATATGAATGTGAATGTCGTAAAATATTTTGTCTAAGTCTTCTGAAAAAGTGTGGTCTCTGCGCCCATGCTAAGTGAGTACTTTATTGGTGCCCGAATCCGCAACTTGATATCTGGAGGGAGATGTTATCCCTCCTCGAGCAGCTTCAGAGATGTACCGTGATTTTCTGTACATTGCCAACTTTTCGAAGCGAGTGGGGATCGTAGGACAGAAGTGGATTTCTCGCTTCTCACAGAGGGAAACTTTTAGATGCGGTGGTCCGGGTCCACCCCTGATCATGAGTTGACCAGGGATTCCTGCTGCGGAAAAGTTCCGCGCTGCAAAAAGTGAACAGTCGCTCTCTGTCCTAGTGGCCCACACGATTCCAAAGCCTAAAGCGAGGTTTGTCGCTCCAGTATCAAATATATCTGCATGTATTTCCTCAAGCAGTGATTCAAACTCTATTCAAGCTCTTTGAACGCAAAAACGCAATTCGTCTTAACTGTTGCGCAGAGGTTATCAACAGTACGGGAACACTGCGATGTCTGACAACTAAGCAAGGCACAATAAACAACGCTCGTTGTTACTCCAGCGAATGAAGTATAATGTGAATGAAACAGTTCTGACAAATCTTGTTGACGATTTCACTATAAATTCATGGGTTTTATTATTAGCTCGTTCAATTTTTGAATCGTTTTTTGGATGTATTCTTCCATTAAGATATGTATTGCCTTTTTGAGGAGGTTGTGTTGAATTTAAGGCATCCGCTGGCATCTGGACAACAAAATTGTTTGCTCCAAGAATGTGCCTAAATACACTATATTCCCTATTGTTGAGTTTTCAGAGGGAGCGCAATGATGCTTACTATAGTGGAGTTAGCATGGGTCCCACTCAGAGGGATCAGCTACTCGATCCATTCTTTTATGAGGCCTTTATTTCTATGAAAGAGAAGATAGCTAGCAAGGACAAGGAGATCACCGCTTTGAAGGAATCCGTCAAAGCCCTCGAAAGTGGCAAAGATTGGTTTGTTTGTTTTTTTGGCTTAATCCCCAAGAATTTTTTAAACTTTCTCATGTGTTCATTCAAATTTTAGTCCAAAAGTTTAGTTCCGTACCAATATCCCAATAAACATTTCTTTTAGGACGTATTAAACATCATAGCAGCCTCCTTGATGAGTTTTCAAGCTAGGGCAGAAAGCGACTTTTTCGCTTTTCGCTGCGGGAACCCTGATCGGGAGAACCCCACCCTTGAAGCTACAGTTCCGGGCATGTCTTAGATGTTCAAGAGTTTCTCATTTCCACACCTGCCCCTTCATTCCAGTAGGGTGTGTGGACTTCGTAATGTTGCCTAATGCCTGAGGCAGGATTTGACAAGTTGGCGTATTATGAGCAGAGCGCAATTCTTAATTGCTGTATGCTCGTATTACAGTTATATGTTAGCCAAATTTGAGCACCCCTTCTTGTAGCCATTCTGTCTATTTATACATACTTAGAGTTGATGTTTTCAGTAAAATA